TTTTTTATATTGTAGAAACTGATTTTTTTTAAATATAAAACAAATTCACATTTTAGATTCAAATTGGTTCAGTTTCATAATTCAACTTGTTGCGCATTATATAAAAAGAAAACTTGTATTCAAATGAGTATCTTTTTTTTTTTATTGAAAATAAATAAAAAGAAAAAAAAACGTCGACGCGTTTAATGGCAAGTATCATTTTTTTTTTATTTTGCAGTAAGTTTGAAATTTAAAAAAGAAATTACACAAGAAAGTTATAATAACAATGCTTATTACAAGAAAATTTTATGGACATTTGGAATGTATCCGGATAAAAGATTTGTAGATAGAGTTCAAAATTTTGTTAATCAATTGACATGGGATGACGTTCGCGTGATTATTGAAAAAAAGACAAGAAGTGTTATTGTCAACGAAACGAACAGAACGAAACAACAAGCGATAAAAACTCGAAGTTTTTTAGTGGGTTTTGTTTCTGTAATGTTTTATCGTTCGGAAACGGATGAATATCGCCTCGTAAAATCTATATACAGATCGACTAATCATTTTGTTCGTCCTATGGTAAAGGAGGGCAGTCAACATGTATCAAACATACACAGTGGATTTGTGTTGTTTAATTTATTTCAATTTCAAGCTCAAATTATTGGCTGTGTAAGTGTAGATCGTTTTGTTGTGTTAAGAGATTCTATTATTGGTTTTTATGAAGAAAAAAAAACGATTTGAAGTTTTGATAATTTGAACAACCAATTGTACAATAATCCTTTGTAGAAACGTAATTTAAAGTATTAGTCCAGTTTCTTAAAAGGCATCTTAAAAGTCGATTTAAAGGTCCAATGAGCAATCTTTCAATATCTTTTGTCAAACAATTTCCCGAGAAAAAAGAAACGTAGAAAAATATATATGTCAGGAATTAAGAAGATGCATTTTAGAAAAGCAGAAACGTCTCGTTTTGTTCGAAACGAGATGTTTCTGCTATAATCGAGATGTTTCCGACATCTACGCCTAAACTCAAAATGAATTTATGTTATAAGCTCTTTTGAGTTTATGTTATAAGCTCTTTTGAGCTTAAGCGTACATGTCTGGACTACGCGTACATGATGAAAGACGGTTATTGTTTTATACGAGTTTTTTATTGTCAATTGTGCAAATTAAAAAACAATGGTTTTTGCACAAAGATTAGCATGAAGGCGTAGACGAAGAGTGTCTTATTGAATATGCAACAAACGGCTGTCAAGAGATAGGAGAAAAATTTTTGTGGTTAAAAAATGAAAGTTATAACTTACATTTTGACAAGTTGGCACTACTTTTGATTGATATCGGTGAGCGTTCAGTATTGAATAAATACAATATTATTTTATTTAATTGACAACCAAAACCAGTGCGTGTTCATTTAAAAACTGAAAAAAGAAAACGCTTTCAATAAGTCGCTAGTAAACGTTTTATTAAACTATACTAGAGTAAAAAATACTTCGTGAAGATAACAATCGTCATCGTATTTTCGTAAACAAATCAGACAGACAGTTTTTAGACGGTAGAAAAAGTTTACATTTTGATTTTTTATTATCAAAAAAGTTTCAATATTGAATTGAAAATATAAGGAGTTTTTCACTTTGTAACGTTTGTTTAAATTTTTATTAAATATAAATGACCGAAGAAACTCATGTGACGGTTTCTATAAAAAAGATAAACTTACTTATAAAAACAATAAATCTTTTTATGAATCAGTGGTGGATTAAGACTTTCTAGGGTCCAAGACTATTTTTGCTTTTGGAAGCCTTTTTTATGTACAAGAACCTAAAATGTGACTTAAAGAAATCCTCTAAAATATTTGGGGGCAGGGCTATAACCCTTGCAAATTTAAAATACTATTTTTTATCAATTTTTTTAAGTTACAGACAAAAATGTTATTGAAGTTTAAGTTGTGCGGCCGTGGCGCAGTGGTTAGAGCGCTTGCTTTATAAGTAGGATATCCAGGTTCGAAACGAGCCTTGGACATATTTTCGCGTCACGGTGCGGAAGGAGACGTGTACTTTTTGGTTAAATGCACATCCGATGAGATCAGTGACAAGACCGTTAGGTCTTCTTGGGGCACCTAAATATCAATTATATAAAAAAAAAAAGTAGAAAACAAATTTCACTTAGGAAAAATTAATTCTTATCAGTCAAATTTTTTTATTACAAACCGTGGCCCATCAACATAGAATCATTTCCAAAATAAAAATATTAAAGACCTAAAAAGCATTTCATCGTTTAAAGGGGAAACTAAAATGCATCTTCTTAATTCCTGACATATATATATTTTTAATTTACACTAATTGTTTTTATTTTTTTTTTTTTCCGTTCTCTTATTTTTTTTTTGTTTTTAATGTTTTTTGTTTTTGAATTTGTTACACCAAAAAATATGAGCTTTGTTTTTATTGAATTTTTATTTTATTTTTGAAAATTAAAGGTTGTGATGTTAAACACATCATCTTTACCTTCTTTGAGTCCCTGACTGATTAGAACAGAATACACATAATGTAAAATAAAAAATTATGAAAAAACGTTTTTTATCATGTTTATCTTTACGACGTGTGTTTTATGTATTTTTTACATGATTATATGAAAATTGTTATTGTAACTGTTTAATCAGTAACTTAAAAGTGTATATAACAAAAAATAAAATTCTATAACAAACCAGTTTATAACAAACCAGTTTTTATAACAAACCAGTTTATAAGATATAGTACTAGGACCCTTAAATTCATAAAAAACTTTTAGTACTTAGTTACTTTTTAATAAGAAATATGTTTAAGATTTCAATGAATATTTACGCATTTTCACCTAAATATATCACATATCGACATTGCATGGTTATTTTTATCTACCATGGAAAACTATAGTTTAAATGAATATTTAATTTGCACGCGAGATGAATGAATGGAATTCTATTCGATAACTAATGAAACCTTGAAATTTAAAAAAACTTTAAGAAACTTTTAGTACTATATCTAGAAAAAAGATAACCTAAAAATAAGACACTTTCTAGTACTATTCCGTTTGCTTGGTTTATTATAAATAAAAAAACTTGTATAGTATCATAACAGTTTAAAACACTTTAAATACTAATAAATTAATGTCAATTAAGTAGTTGATTACACGTAATTATATTATAACGTAGTAAATGTAGAAAAAAAGTTAAAAAATTCAAGTTAAGTTCAAAATTGAAAAAAATTGTTGCTGTTTCTATTTTTAACCTTACGCGTTTAATAAATTGAAAGTCTTTTACGTCAATTACAACAAACTTATAAGTATCATACGCTATATACAAGTAAATGTTGTTTAACCTGAAATTATCATTTGAATTGTTTTAATTTAATGCAGAGATTAGAGGTGTACCGGATAAGCTATCCGGCAGGATATCCGGACCAGATATCAATATTATTCGATATCCGTTATCTGTCCGGATAATAACATTATCCGGTTTTCGATAAACCGGATACTTTAAGTTAAAACTTAAAGATTTAATAAACAAAGAAATGATATATTTTTAAATATTCTAATGTTAACGGTTTCTATTCAAAATTGTTATTATTATTATTAATAACTTATTATTCAAATACTATTAAACTTAAACGCAACAAACACATCAGTTTATCACTCATTTATAAATTTATTTCCATTATGATGAATAAATAGTAACATTTCTCCACGTTGAGATAACTCGATCGCTTTTTCTCGAAAATATTTCCATATTCGGAAAACAATCGCTCCGAATATATAGAGGATGCTTGAGGTGCTAATAATTTAAGAGCTAACTCTTTTAGAAGTGAAAACTTTTCTTCATGTTTCCAGTAATTAAAAACGTCTTCTTTTTTTTCTATAATCGAGTGATTAAAGAAAAAATCAACTTCTTGAGCAGCTTTTACATGCGAGACTTGATCAGAATTTGTTTCACTATTTTGTTCTGTAATATAAAACAATTTAAATACTTAAGATTATTTATTTATACATTTTTATTCAATAAAAAGTATATAGTACTTAAATCAGCAAACCAACAACATGCAGAATATAGCTAATATTAAAAATAAAAACTTAATTAAAAGTTTTTCTGTTTATCAAAAAGTTTTTAAATTATTAAAAAACTTTTTTAATAAACAAAAAGAGATCTTCTTACCTAAATTTCCTTCATACTCTGCAAGTTCTAAAAAGCAGGAGTTAAAGTCATTCTTTTCCAAATCAACTTTTTTTTTTTTTGGAATTGGGCGTTAAATGATTGGAGATGGTAACGGTGGAGCTGGTAGCTCTATTAATAACAACTGGTGAAAGTCCAGTTATATTTCTTTGATTTTTTACTACAGCATCTAAGAGCATTTATCTTGCTTATGTTCTCTTATCAACAGGAAGAAAATTTGAGCTTGTAGCGAGGATCAATAATGGTGGGTAAAACATATCTTTTATCATCTGTTATATTGAGATTATCATGAGAAAAGAATCTCTTATTTAAAGATTCTATAAGCTGTTTTGTTGTTTGAACTGCATCATCTTTTTGATCAATTTTTGATAAAAATTCTTTGTAAAGTACATATACTCGGAACTACTGTTGATAAACTACAAAGTTCAGAACTCATAGCATTAGTAAGTTCATAAAAATGCTTTAAAACATATAATAAATTTTCAATGAAGTTCCAATCATTTGATGCAAATGTTATCAATTCATTATGATCAGCTAAATACATTTGGACTGCTCTTTTAAGTTTTTTAAGCTGTTTTAAGCTGTTTTAAGCTCTAACATTAAGTACGCACTATTCCAGCGAGTGTCACATCTTGAACCAAAAGTAGAGGTGTGTTTTCATTTTGTTGTTGTTGCAGTAATTAAATTCTGTACATGCCTTTGATGAATGAATAAAGTGGACTACTATTCGACGTGCTTTAGCTAATAAATCTGTCACTAATAATTGGGATAAAACTGCATCCTTTATCACGAGTTGCAATAAGTGGATTGTGCAATGTACTGATGATATTTAAATAAGTTTACTGCCTAGTGACATATTAGCAGCACCATCTTTGACTAAAATATGTTTTCTCCGTGCATTAATTTCCCAGCTTTCTAACATATTTATAAATTTTCCAGCTATGTTTATCCCTGTATGAGCTTCTGGAAAATGTGAAGCATAGAGTACAGCATCTTTGTGCTCAAATTTTTTTTTTATCCAATGTCCTGATAAGGAAATAAATGTTTCATGAGATGTCGGACAAGTCCAAATATCTGATGTAAAACTTATGTACTGTGACTTAGCAACTTCATTAAAAACCTTTTTTTTAATTTGATCATACAATATAGGAATTGCTGTCTCCGAAAAATAATTCCTACTTGGGATTAGGTATCTTGATTGTAAAAAAGCCATTAAACCAATAAATCCATCATCCTCGGTTATACTAAATGGTTGATTATCTAAAGCAATCATAATAGCAAATTTTCTATGAATTTGCTTAGACTTTTCATCATTAATATCCCATATCTTCTTTGATGTAAAACTATCTTCAACAGACATCTGTTTTTGCATTTCGCACTTTTTCTTTAAAACCAATGAGCTACATTTTGAACATCCTTGAGCAGCTGAAGAACATTCCATTTTATAATTTTTTTCCTCTTCGTACAATTTGCAATGAAATATTTTTGCATGATTATGCAGCGGAGTTGTAGAAAATGACTGCTGACCAGATTTACTACACTGCTCATCTGCTTTCCACATGGAATGCAAATAGCAATGGAATGACAGCAATCACTAATTTTTAAAAGTTTCCACACAAATTTCGTTATTTTGAAAGGTTATTACAGTAACTTTTGTCTTAATTTAATATTTATCTAACAGTTAAATAACATTATCCGTATCCGGCCGGATATCCGGCCGGATAATTTTTAATTATCTGAGTATTCGATAACCGGCCGGATATCTGAAAAATGATATCCGGGAAACCCCTAGCAGAAATGATAAAATAATATATAATAATTTAAAAATCTATGTTAAAGACTTCGATTTCTGTTTTATTTTTTAAAAATAATTTTTTTTTTTTTACTATTGATTTTAAAGAATAGAAGCTTTTTATTAATAAAAGTTCGTACCTATTTTTTAAAATACAGTTTATATTACATCTTCGCAGTTAGTTAACAAGAAATATGATTTTTATGTTTTATGCAAATAAAAAACTCTGGCTTTGTTTGTGTTTTTTGCTGTGTTTTTTTTTTTGTTCAAAGGTTGTTTTTTTTCAAAAAATAAATATAGTTTTTCTTCTAAAAACTGAATTTATTATTTGCTTTTAAATAATATTTGTTAAAAGACTTAAAGTTTTTTATCGAGCCAATTTTATCGATACCAATTTTTACGTATTACTTTTTAAGTTATTTAATCCTTCATAAAAAACTTTTAGTGATAGTTCTTCAATTATTAACTCTGTATTAAAGTTGCAATAAGAAGGTGATAAAAAAAATTTTATAAAGAAATTTTTTTTTAAATAAAGAAAAATTTTATTAAGAAATTTTTTTTTATAAAATACAGTAATAGTTATATAATACATTAACAGTAAAGTAAATTATTTATTTATTCATGAAGAAATAATAACTTTTTCTTAAAATTCATGTTTGTATATTGTATACTTTGCATATTTTCGAATTTTGGAACTATTGTATTTATGAAATGAATGAAAGCTATTTTATTTTAAAAAAATTTTTTATAAATAAAACACTGCATTGCTATATTCAATAGTCATAAAAATGTCTCGTACATTCACGAAATCGTTGCGCATAAAATGTTTGAATATTTTACTGTATTCACGTCAAATACGTTTCGTGTATCCGTGACGTTTATACGCGGGGAGTGGTTTAATTTAACTTTTCTATTAGAACCGTAAATTTTTAAGTTTTATTAGGTTAAATAAAGATTTGTATTATATGCGGCTGTACGAATAAATACGTCACATATTGTTTCAACAGTCATCATGTAATGGCATTTAATTTTAACTTTAGAGAAACAAGTTTAGTTTTTTTTAGTTGATTAAGAGAGACTCGGCGTCAAAGTTTGCTAATATATATTCAATTTGAGGCAACTAAAGCGGAATGAATGAAAACACAACAGCAAAAAGTATATTTTTAACAATGCTACCTTTACTGTTATAATCACAAGTGTTTTTTTCTGACTTTATTATCTAAATAATATATCAAGTTTAGTTTATTACTTCCTTATCTTTATTAAGTTACCTTAAGTAATTGATTTTAATTTAATAAGAATATATTGTTGGTTTGCAAGGAAAATGCACGTCCATATTTGGCAGTAAGGAGTTATTTATACCACTATTTAGTATTTTAGATTCTCTATCTTTGATATACCACAAAAACTTAATAAAGCAAATATTAATGAGTTATTGAGATTTTTTATGTCAACAGTTACACAAAAACTTATTAGGTATAAACAATATACCTATAATAACTATTACGCAAAAAACTAATTCGTTCAATTTCTCGAAATGATGTTTTGTTTTCCTTGTATACCAACGATATTAAACTCTTCATTATTTTATTAAATTGATTTTATCATTTTATAGTGAAATCATTTAAATGTTTTTTACTTTTGCTATTAGTTTTGATTAGGTTTCTTTTTAGTTATGATTAAATTATCTTTAAGTAATCATTGTTTTAGCAAATATAAAAATTTTTTAATAAAGTTATAAACAAACTTTTGCAATTAAAAAATGTTTCCCTAAATCTTATCGATACTTCTATTTATTTAAGTTAAATGTTAATATATGAGGCTATTAATTAATTGCATTGAGACTTTCTTGCTTTTCCACTACTTGTACGTATTATATTGCAGAATATGTTGTTGATATTGTTTCTTTTATTTTAGGAGTTTGGAGATATATAAACTTTATATTTTATTAGAGAAAGTAAATAAATATCAAATTGTTAGTAATGATTTATTTACTACTAGCCCGTATTACGGGTTGCTTACTGCTAGTATATATGAATAAATCTAATAACCCATATTTCTAAAAAAGACTAGTATCACAATCTATTAATTAGTAACACGGCAGTCAGTCACATATCAATTTTTATTTCAGCACAGTAAGCAACCCGTAATACGGGTTAGTAGTAAATAAATAATTACTAACAGTTTGATATTTAATTACTTTCCCTAATAAAATATAAATTTATTTATATAGTAAGCAACCTGTAACACGGGTTAGTAGTAAATAAATCATTACTAACAATTTGATCTTTATTTACTTTCTCTAATGAAATATGAATTTATTTATACATTTTTTTAGTTGTGCTCACTTTTATTTTTCTTGGCTTCTTAGTTTAAGAGAACTCTTAGCTTCAAATATTGGGAATGTATTTTACTCTTAATTTTGCTTTAAGCTGAGTCGTTTCTATTTTTTTAAACTTTTCATTTTGTTGAGTGAAGAGCTTAAAAATATGTCACTATCGCACCTAAACTTTTCAATATTTTTAATATACTTTTTAAATATTTTTAAAACATCTAAAATATTACACCCAAAACTTGTAGTCAAAGAAGTTGGATATCCGGAAAAACTTTAAGTTGAAAAATATATCGCAATTCCGGAAAGGGCTTATCCCTGCATACGGATCCTATATTATTATATGATAAAGATTATTACTAAACCAACCTTTTTTTTAATTAGTAACCCAGCAGAAACTATTTTAGACAGAATTATTCAGCTTTAATAAAATTGGTAAAACCATATAAGACAATTGAAAAATATATTTAAACATTTGTTCACTTTGTTCACACCCTCCACTTTCACCTAAATGGTGAAAGTGGAGGCAAGGCTACCATACCATTATGGCAACATAGAAAATGTGTTTCATCTGGAAATTTCTTAGCACCACAGTGCTGACAAATTTGATTCATTTCTCCTAAATAATTATACTTTTTATAATTATTTATAAAATTACTTCTCGCTATAGAACACATTCGTCCTTGTCCAATAGCTCTTCTTTCATTTTGGCGACGATTAACATAATCTAGATTTAGTCTATTTTTTCATTTTGAAAACGATTAATTTCATTTCGCCTAAGTCTAATTCTTTCATTTCGTCTACGATTATTTTCAACACGCTTTATAGCACTTACATCATCTTGTAAATACATAACTTCATCTAGCCTATCATCGATTTTAAAGTCATCATTTTTATTAAACATATTTATCAAAGCAACACTAATTATTTCTTTTTTTTTTACTAACCTAAAGTTTAACAATAAAATAAAAAAACTTAATAACTAAAAAAATCATACTCGAAAAAATAAAAAAAAAGTTCTTAAAAAAATTTATATAAAGAAACCAAACAAATGCAAAATAAAAATAATTTGCCATCTTCAAAAGTAATACAGGTTTCCAAGTTTATTTGATAGAAGTTAAAAAAAACCTGCAACCACATCAGCGAAAACTTATTAAAAAAAGTTAAAATTTATTTTATTTCTAAAAAAAAAAAAAAAAAAAAAAATTGCGACAGCGTCATAGCTCATGCGTTGAGAGAAAACATTGAACAAAACACGTAATAAAACTTATTAATGCTTTACATACAATAGAAAACAGATTACGAAAAAATTACGATAACACATTAAATAAAAAAGAAATATTAACTTTAAGATGCACCTTATATTTTGTATTATTAAGCTATAATGTACACGTAATAACAACTAAAAAAAATTAGTTGTTGTGGTACTACAAAAAAACCTTAATCATCTACTAGCTTATTAAGTTCAAATGATTATTCAAATTTAAAATAACTATTTTATTATAAATTGAAATTATAAAACTTACTTTATAGATTTATCCGTTAATAATTTATCTTTATAACCTCCGTCTAACCATGTTTTTTTTTTACTGCAAAAAGAATACAGTTGTCAGGGCAATTGACAAGTCCGGAGCACTTTGCGAATTTATCGGGCCCATCAGTACAACCAATAAACTTTTTGGATTGAGTTAACTTGTTACTAGATCTTTTAAACTGAAAGTTAAGAATTAATTCTTTATTTGTTGCAAAAGTTATCTGAGTTAAGTTTTTTATCAGGCTTTCTTCTTTAAATAAATAGGCTCTAGCTTTTAGTCTCGTATTTTTAGCCATTTTGAACATTATTTAAAAAAATATTAGAGCACTTATTATTAGTAACGCAAATTTAGTTTAAATACTTTGTCATCGAATTTGAAAGTAGTTGTTAAATTTTAAATTATCATTAAAGTACCTTGGTATATACATTTTCTAAAAATATTTTCCGATCAAATTTCCGGATTTTTTTAGACTTAATTTAACACTAATAAAAAAACTATTCAAATTATAGTTTTTTCCGTATTTGGAAACAGTTTATTAGGAAAAAAAAAGTTTTTTATAAAACACCTAGTAATAAAATAGGTTTTTGTTTTTTGGATTTTTCACCAAATTCAAAATATTCTGTAGACTAATTTCTTAATTTTTTCGACATGCTCCTTTTACCCAGTAAACTTGCCATGCATGGTCCATGCATGGGATTCATCGGTTGATGACCGGCACCACCGCGCCAGTGATGCCGGTCATCAACCAATGGTTGGCCAATGTTTGTGATAAAATAAAGGTTTTGCGTTTGCGCATGTGCTATTCTATAAAGTTTGCCATCTTAGTTTTTACCTTACGTCAGTTTCCTTATTACTTTTTAAGTATTGATCAGTGTTGCCAACTGGCATTTTTTAATGCCAAAATTAGTAAAATTGGCATTATTTTAACATGTTTGCATTTTTTGGCATTTTGGCATTATTTTGGCATTTTGGCATTTTTTTTGGCATTTTTAAAGAAACTGTTGAATTGATTTTTTTTTCAGTTAGTTAGTATTTAATTTGTATTAGAACATTAAGCACAATGTCGAGGGTAAATTCAAGAAAGTACCTTGAAAAATGGGAAGCGGATTATCCTTGGCTTAAAAAAAGCTCTGATGGTACTGAATCAGCATTCTGTACCCTTTGTCGTGTAACTATACAACCACGGAAATCGTCTGTAGAACAGCACAGTGGTACTTTTAGACATGCTTCAAGAGAAAAGCATCTTAACACAAAAAGCCAGATTACGTTTCCTTTAGTATCAAAGAAAGCAGACTGTGAAGCAGATATTCATCTTGCTCTTTGCGTGTGTTGTCATGCACCCATTTCAACGATAAATCACCTTGGAGAAATCATTTCTCTTTATGGAAAAAATAGTCCCCTTGAAAACCTTCGTCTGCATCGAACCAAATGTACCCAAATTATTAAAAATGTAATTTCTTCATCAATCGAATCAGAAATTTCTGAATCAATGGCAGATAAACCTTTTCCCATCCTGATTGATGAATAGACTGATGTTTCTTTGACAAAACATCTTTGCATTTGTGCTCGATACTATTCAGATGAACAGAAATCAGTTATCGATGACTTTCTTGGTTTAGCTGCTGTGATATCAACCACTGGTGCAGATCTTTTTGCTGTTTTGGAAACAAAGTTGACGTCTGTTGGATTGTCTTTAAAAAACTGCATTGGGTATAGCTCAGACGGAGCTTCAAATGTCATTGGATTTCACAATTCGGTTTGGTCTCGTGTTCGGGCAGTCTCTCCTAATTGTCTCTCTAATAATAATACCTAATATTATATATATATATATATATATATATATTATATATATATATATATATATATATATATATATATATATATATATATATATATATATATATATATATATATATATATTTATATGTATTTATATATATATATATATATATATAATATTTAAATATATATATATATATATATATATAATATATATATTTATATATATATATATATATATATATATATATATATATATATATATATATATATATATATATATATATATATATATATATATATATATATATATATATATATATATATATATATATATATATATATATATATATATATATATATATATATATATATATATATATATATATATATGTATGTATGTATGTATATACTAGGATGTTAGCCAGCCCAATGGCACTGCTCATACAACAGATTTCCCAATCCAATTAAAAATCAATGAACCGTTATTTTTTAAATAAAAATAAATACTCCCAAAATTGAAAAAACGTGGAATAAATTATATTACAGGTTAACACCCTGTATACATACAGGGCTATTTTGTTTTAATGAATGTTTTATTGTTTGTAGTTTTATAAGTTTTAATGTAACACATATGTAATCATATTTGTTAATCATATGTAACATATTTTGACTGTTTTAGGGAGGACACACATTGTCTGAGGGTTGTGGCAGGGGCCTAGGGTAGTTATACCCTAACTAAACCTACAGGGAGGTTATAAATGTCCCCTTAGAGTAAGGCTTCCATCAACTTAAGGCTTATTTTTAGCCTGAATGTATATATTTTATTTATTTTAAAAGACCATGACACATTACTTATTTGTAAAATTTCCAGAGGAGGATTCAGTGGAGGTAGTTCCGGAAACATGGTTTTCTCATGACACTAGGAAGTGTTTTTTTCCATCAAAGATGGACTTAAAAACATTTAACAATTATGTTTTAAAAATGTTCCCCCCAGAAGACAGTTGAAAAAAATTTACAGGCATTGCTTTGTGGAAAACAAGTAATTTTTATTATAAATTTGTTTTTAATTAATTTTTAAAGTATTCCAATAGAGGAATTCTGAAGATAAGTTTTATAAATGTTTTTCTTTTAACCGTATGTGACTACTATCAATAATATTCATTTTTAATTTATTTTTACGAATAACAAATATTTTTTGTACATACATTTATTTTCATTTATTGTTTTTTTTAGCTGATTACAAAATAGCGCACGATAAAGCCACTCTAGCATTAGATACTTCAGATCTTAATACTGAAACAGAAACAACAGGAAAAAAGAGAAAGAGAAAGTAGTTATTTTTCAAAATTTAACAAAATTTTTAAGTCTTTAAAATTTTTTTGTCCTTATTTATATTTCTAAGTAATTTTTTGCTATCTTGTAGGGAAGTTCAAAGATTTAAAATTCTCAATGAAAATGATGAGCCTAATGTTGATTTTTGTCCTAATAAGTATGATCGTTGGGTTTAAATAGATGATTAAACATAGCCACTCTAAGTGTTAATGTTGTCAGTGTTAATGTTGTCAATAATTTTTTAATTAATTAATTTTATTGGCTAGGTTGTCACTTCATGGAACATCAAGTAGCACCAGAAACACGTGTGCCCCAAATGTAGAGTGTAAAATTTTTCCTCCTAGTAATGAGAAGTCGATTCCTTTTTCAATATTTAACAAAAGTTCTGTTTCATTAAATAGTTCTTTAGGTGAGTTATTATACTTAATCAAATCAATTAATAAGTTCAGTTTATTAAAGATGATCTTACAAATTGGTTAAATAGTCAGATTTTTTTTCTCTCTTTATTGTTCCCAAAGTCTGAGAGGGCCACTTCAGTCAAGGAGGGTACTCTTTTATTTTTTTGTAAATTTAATATGGTTATAACCCTCTCTTAAAAAATATTATAAAAATAAAATCTATATATATATATATATATATATATATTATATACATATATATATATATATATATATATATATATATATATATATATATATATATATATATATATATATATATATATATATATATATATATATATATATATATATATATATATATATATATATATATATATATATATATATATATATATATATATATATATATATATATATATATATATATATATGTATATATATATATATATATATATATATATATGTATATATATATATATATATATATATATATATCTTATAAAAATAAAATCTCTTTTAATTTAGATAATGACACTAGTTCATATTTTCAAAATGGTCAAATTTTGTCACCAAATAATAGGACAGGTTAGATTTTTGATCATGATAATTATGATGATGATGATAATGATAATGATGGTGATGATTGTTTCAGATTTAATGATGAATAAGATTTTAGAAAAGCTCGTTGTGATGGAAAACAGGCAGAAATCCAATGAAAAGATATTAAAAACTATTCTTATGAGGTTAGAAAGCTGTACAAATGAGTCTTCAATTGAAGATTTACCTGTCACATTGCCTGTTCAAAATTGGCAGGATTTGATAATATTAGATGAAATGAGTTCTTCTGTTGGTTTGGTAAGCTTCAAAAGTTTATTTTTAATAATCTATTTCCAAATATATATATATATATATATATATATATATATATATATATATATATATATATATATATATATATATATATATATATATATATATATATATATATCTGTAGTTATATAAATATTATATTAGTCAAGGTTGCTTGGTGTAATTGGTGGGAGCAATTTGAAATCAATTACATATAACATAATGAATCAGCTAGTATGTCATGAACTAGCACTAAAAATGAATTGGAGTGATAAATACAAAAATAAACACGCCTTTGGAAAGTTAAAAAAAATTCCTGGCATAGTATATAGTAAGTACAATAATGTTCATTTATTTTGTGGTAATTAAGTTGATCCCATATATCTTGTTAAAAATTTAACAGTTGCAGTTCAAAAGCATGAAAAAGGAGGAAGTAATGCAGATGTTGAAAAGTGCATAAAAAGGTGGCTAATGCAAGCTCCGGACAGAAATGGTGGCCGCGCACAACGTGCTTTAAAAACTTTAACTCAAAACTCTTGAATTTTCTTTGATATATTATATTTTACTTTCATTACTTAAGTATAACATTTTTTTTATAGTATCATACTTTTATATTTTACTACACATACATACATACATACATACAATATAACAGAAAATTTTTCAGTGCAAGATTAAGGCGTGGACTTTATTTGTTTTGAAATTTTGAGTTTTGAAATTTATTTTTTTGGTTAATACCTTAAATTTTGCATGGATTTTAATGAAAGGTTTTCTTCATTTTAACATATTTCTTTTTAAAATCATCGGTTTAAGTTTTTAACCAGTGCACTGATTAAAAACTTACATACATTTATTAACAAATACATACATGTATGTATTTATATTTTAAAGCTATATTTGAAATATATATTTATTGTAACTAACCTATTTTAATGCTTTTTGTTTAATATTTTTTTGTGTTGCTATTTATAGATTATTATAGATGGTTATAGATGTTATAGATTATAGATGACTAAAAAATGCTACATGCTAAAGCTACGTAATCATTAGATACTTTAGAAAAGAAGCCATAAAAGATATATCCTAGTTATAAAAGTTTAGTAAATTTTTTCTGATTCTTGTTAGTTTATAGTTAATGCTTATTTATTGTGCTAAATAGTTTATATGTATCTTCAAGTATATAGACTTAATACGCATCGACATCTGGTACCAGTGGTAATGTCACAAGCATCTTTTAACTACAAGTATATTTTCCATATATTTTGAAGGAGTTGTCTGCTTGTTTTCTTTTTGTTTTTGTATTTGTTAGTGACATCAACATCTGGTAGCAATGGTAACGTTCTAAAGTATCTTTTCGAAATAGCTGTATATAACCAATCAAATTGTTTTATGTACTTTGTTTTTCCTATGATAATCTTACAGATTCTTTTTTAATTCATTATAAATGACGTTCTAAAGATGTTTTTTTCTTTTTATCTGTTGCATTTTCTAGTCTTTAATGGCATCTGGTAGCAATGGTAAGTTTGTATCTTTTCAAAATAGTTAATAATGACTTAGTAAAAGAAGATGTTTTTTTAAGTTATTGTTTATTTTGTAGTATTTAGGGGCAACAGCAATTAGTATTTTTTCGTTTTGTAGTCTTTAATGATATTGACATCTGATAACCTTGGTAAGGTTGTATTTTTTCAAAATGATTATATTAATTGTTTAAGAGGTTATATGTTTATTATTATTTTTATTTCGTATTCCTAAGGTACATCCAAACTTAAAAGCAATGGTAAAGTTATATCTTTTCAAAATGATTGTAAAAGACCTTTTCATTAGGCTATTATATATTTTAATTTTTAAGATGTCGTTTGATAACTATCTTTTATATTTTGCATTTTTTAGCGGCATCACCATCTATTAGCAATGGTAATGGTATATCTTTTCAAAATGACTGTAAATGATCAATATCATATAAACATAATTATTATTTTCCAAACATTGTAATTTTTTTTCAATATTATGTTTATTAATGTTGGATTAGTAAAATAAATATAACAGCAATTATAACGCTTCAACCGTTAGTTTATTTATTCTCAATATAACGCCAATATAACGGCACTTCGAAGTGCCGTTATATTGGCGTTATAATATAACGGCAGATCGGCCTTTATATTTAGTGTTATATTTGCTCAACTCGAGTTGATGTTAACGCTAGATCTGGCGTTATATACTTTTTGATATTTTGGCGTTAGTTTTTTTACAATGTGTCTTTTATTACGATCGGCCTAATTATTTTATTTTAGATCTATCAGGAGCAGTTTAAAATGCGAAAAAGATTGCGTAAAAATGTAAAGTAGAAGATTATTGATAGTTAGCACCATAATGACGAATAAATGACGGTTGAAGAAATGACGGACAAGCTTTTACTCATCTTAAACCTTTATATGAATATGAATTGTATTTTAGTTAACTTTTATTGAAATGTAAAAAATTTATCAATGTATAATGTATTGCAAAAACGGTGGACATAATTTTCTAGATTCCATTTTATAATATTTTGAAATATCTCATTAATTATATGTTTTCGCGTATACCTTTTTTGAGTTAGGTAAACATTAACTTATTTTTCGACAATTTATTACGTCTTTGAGCAAAGGAAGAACGAGGAATTCCTCTTAATTTAAACTCTCTTATGTGCTAAGTATTAGTTATAAATAAAATAAACAAATAATAATAATAAAGCAAAATTAACATAGATATGAGCAATAGCTATGCAACTGATAAACGCCGGTTAAAAGTTAAAAATAAATAAAACAAATAAAAAATGAACCAAAACTAACATAAAAATGAGCACTGGCAAAGCAACGGCTTAACGCTGGTCGAAAAACGGCTGCCATGCATGGACTATGCATTAAACGGTGAGCAACACTTGGCTTGGGCCATGCTTGTCGGCCGATGGTGGGCCATGCATGGAGCAAGCATGGCGAGTTTGCTGGGTATGTGATAAACATTCAATCCAACATAAAACATTTAGCAAAAAAAAAAAAAACTAGATAAATTTTATGGTCTCCGCCAGGCGTTTAAAACACCCTACAATTTTGGACCAAATTCGAACTGGCGGGGACCCTTAAAAATAATTTTTTTTTTTTTTTGCTCAAACTTAGTCAATTTATAAATTGATTCGCGAGTTCGATTAAAATTGATAAAATATGAAACACCCTAATATATATATATATATATATATATATATATATATATATATATATATATATATATATATATATATATATATATATATATATATATATATATATATATATATATATATATATATATATATATATATATATATATATATATATATATATATATATATATATTATATATATATATATATATATATATATATATATATATTGCTATAAGCTTGTTTTAAGTACCTCCGTTTTAACCTACCAACCCAACAATCTACTTTTTTTTATAATTGACTAGCTGCCCCTCCATTTCATATACGCTATTTGCAAACCCTCTCTCCCCCTCTGAGCGAACATACTTTATAGAGGATCCTTTATTCATATTTTTAATAATACTAGAAATATGAAAAACAAAAGTTCAGAATCCCCTCTTTAACAATAAAGGGTCAAAAGAGACAAAAGGGTGGTGCTCAAAAATCTTTACTTAATTAACTGACCCCAAACAGCTCTTACCATTATCAAAAATTACCATAAAAATTTAAAAATAATTATCTTATGTAAAACACGGTAAAAAAATTATCAAAAAACATGTATTTTTAGTTTAAAAACTTTTTGTTTGTTGATATATTTGTAAACGATTTTTGGGTTGTTTTGGGATTTTGATATTATTTCTTTTTCATGTGCTTTTTTTGCTTTAAATATTTCAGTTTTTACTGAACGATTAAGGCGATTGTACTTTATTTTAAGCTCACTATTCTCCCATTTATTAGAGCAGTTTATATGCCAAGCGGATTTTTTTTCACGGATCAGGTTTTTAATATGTGGGGTAACCCAAGGATCATACTTTTTTTTTGTTTTATTAATCTTGGGAATAAAATATGTGCAAGCAGTGCGATAGTTAGAAATTAGTATATTGAACATTTGATCTGCAGTTTTATGCAGGAATAAAAACTCCCAGTCGATTGATGCAATAAAGTTAGATATTGAATCGTAATCACCTTTTTTGTAATTAAACGATTGAGATACACTTTCGGTTAACAGTTCTGAAACTAAGAATCTCCAAGTGATACTAAAATGACAAAAATCGTTTACAAATATATCAACAAACAACTAAAAATTAAAGATAGAATTCGCTCTCTCAAAGATACTTCAGGCAGAATTATTGAAGCTCTTCCTGATATAGTTGATCTTCTGAACTCTCAATTTAAATCTATGTTTACACTTGAAAGCTCTGAAAATTTTCCTTTGCTAAATAAAAGTGGTATTCTTTCTGAATGCATTTATAATGAAAACTTGGATTTCTCTATCTCAGATATTATTCAGGAACTTGCCGATCTAAAGCCTTATAAATCCTTTGGACCTGACGGCTTGCATCCCTTAATACTCAAGATATGTGCCAAAAGCTTTGCAATTCCATTTACAAAAATCTTTCATAAATTCTTTAATTCTGGAGTAGTACCCACTCAATGGAAATTAGCAAATATTAGTCCGATCTATAAAAAAAAGGGAGATAAATTACTTGCTGAAAACTATAGACCTATTTCACTAACATCTGTTGCCTGTAAAATCTTTGAAAAACTTGTAAAGAAAAAAATTTTAAAGCACATTAACGATAATAAAATGCTCTCTGCAAATCAACATGGCTTCCTTTATCATAAATCATGCGTAACTAACCTAATAGAAACTTTTGATATCATTTCGTCCTCCATAGCATCTCACCAATTTATTGATGTAATCTATCTTGACTTTGCCAAAGCGTTTGACTCTGTACCTCACAACAGACTTTTGTTAAAATTAAGATCTTTCGGAATAAACGGCAAACTCCTACAATGGATTAAATCTTTTTTAGTGGGCAGAAAGCAACGCGTTACAATTAACAATACCAGCTCTGCATGGGTTGATGTTCTCAGTGGTGTTCCTCAAGGTTCTGTTCTCGGCCCGCTCCTCTTCATTCTCTACACAAATGATCTCGCAAAACTCACTGAAACTTCTGAGATATTTGCCGATGATACTAAACTTTTTTCTAAAACCTTATCGCAATCTAATTTTGTTGATCTGCAGGATCGTCTACGCTTGGTATACGAGTGGTCAAACACTTGGTTACTTAAGCTAAACACTTCAAAATGCTGCGTCATTCATTACGGTCGAAACAACCCCCATTACAATTACTTTCTTCAAAATAACCAAGGAATCAACCAATCTCTAAGAAGCTCTACTAAAGAACGTGATTCAGGAGTCATTTTTACATCTAACCTTAAGTGGAGCGCTCATATTCAAACAGTTGTCTCTAAGTCCCTACAAATTCTCGGTATGCTGAAAAAGACTTTCACTTTCATTGATGAAAAAATGGCTCTCAAATTATATAAAGTATTTATAAGACCACATCTTGAATATGGAGTGTCCATTTGGGCTCCTT